ATGAGTAAGATAGGATCTTTACCAGATTCTAAGGAAAAAACGCAAACACATATTTTTTTTATGTAACAAATATAGAAATAAGTATAAGAATTATAGACTACAGGTCTTTATAGACTGTTTTTAACCTATATGTACAGTAAAAAACATTTAAACTTCGAAAGTGATTTCTGATCTTTCATAAGTGATCAGATCCCCACAAGCTGGCCTGAAAGTAGGGTAGTATGCAACACACATCTCTAGTAAAGAAATGTAGCCTATTTTATTTGAAAACAATTCTCCAACCTCTAATAAATAGGATACAAAGGATAAAGGTGCTGTGCAGTCCCACATGAAGCGCTACAACCAGTCATCTTTTTATATCTCACATCATGCCTCGGATATGATTACTTACCAAGATTTTGGTAAAAAAAAGAAAATATCTTAATTTTTGATTATGTGGTGTCATTCTGTGAGTGCTTATGTTGTCATCTAATTCTCTAATTCTCCTTTAAGACCCAACGAGCGTTTGGCAGCGAGAGATTATTTGCCACTTGTTTCATATTTTACACTTTGGACATTATTTTATAAAATATCACATTGCTTTTTCAACAACCTCTTGCTATTCAATAATTTCTTTAATGGATAAATATATTAGTTTTTTCCCCAACAAAATAAGTCATATCTTAAAAACAAGGAGGGGCGTTAACTTTTATCTCAAGAAATACCTCGGAAACTTCTGGATTTTTTTCTTTATCGCAGAGGTGTGGTTTAAATGTGATGCTGGGTGTGGTCCATTTTGGTGTTATATAAAAATGATAGTGACAAATAGTCAACACATTTTCTTTCAGTTCAGAAGACAACTGAAGAAAACGCAGACATGAGTCTCTCTGCAAAGGACAAGGCCGTGGTGAGGAACTTCTGGGTCAAAGTGGCCCCGAAGACAACTGAGATTGGAGGAGAGGCTCTAGTGAGGTTGTATTTTGCCCTTTCTTTTCATTCTTCATTCATTCATACTTTTATTCATTAGTAAGTACTTATTCATATTTCCATCATTTGAATTTATGTTTTACAGGATGGTGACTGCTTATCCCCAGACCAAGACCTACTTTTCTCACTGGTCCGATCTGAGTCCAGGCTCTGCGCAGGTGAAAAAGCATGGTGCCACCATCATGGCGGCCATTGGAGACGCTGTGTCAAAGATTGACGACCTTACTGGAGGTCTGTCTGCCCTCAGCGAGCTCCACGCTTTCAAGCTCAGAGTGGACCCTGCCAACTTCAGGGTAAGCTCACACAGTAA